CTACTTACCAGGACAATATCATCTGCGTACTTCAGGTCAGCAAGATCGGATATCTTGAATTGTGCGTCTCCTCTAGAGGACCTTCGTCGTTTCTCTGATCGCCGTGGTATCGAAAGAGGACGTTGAGAACGATGTTGAATAACATGAGCGAAAGTATATTTCCCAGACGGACTGCACATTTAATAAAGAACCACTGCGTAGTTTTAATTCGACTTTAATAACTGACAGTTCCCGTATGTGCATCTCTTCCAAAACGTATTCGGATATTTTACTGTATCGTTATTGGCGTCTAAATAGAATCAAAGCTAACATTAGTAAAGCCCAGTTTACATTTGGTAGTATACTTTCATGTATATTTGTGAGCAAAAATTATCTTTGTTGTTTGACTTAACAGAGAGGAGGTTTCGCATTTACAGACCGTAGCTACTTTAATGCCATGATTTCAGTGGCGCGCTTAAATGGCCGTGTTGGCCGTTGTTGGATATTTTTTCGTATTAGAGATATTGTATTCTTCTGCGTTTTAGTGTTTTCGTTCAGTACACTAAAAGTTATTATATGAGTACTTCCTTGAGTTTAATAGGTTACTTTATTAGGTTTTGAGAGCTACAGCTTTACCGTGAAAAGCCTGTACCATTTACTACTGTGACCTGCACCAGATTGAGTCTGCGCCATTAGACTGTAAGTCCATAGATCATATATCAGTGCTGCACTGTGGTATGCTCTTTCTCGTCGCGCATTTAGCGATACTTATTTCCCGCCTTTCGAAACGTGATATTTCCTTCGGTCTTGTCCGAAGGTTTACCCGATTGGACACATTTTTCATTTCGCAACATCTTTCCATTTTGTGCTCGAGCATGTATCATTTTTTGCGTCGTTCTGTTTGATGTTTCATAGTAATTTTGCTTTATGGCCATTTTAATAAAGCCTGTGAGCTACTGAGAACTCGCCAGACCACCTATCCATGAAATCATCGTTCTTTCTCTGATAATCGCTGCTTTAAGGTTCAAGCGCTCGTTTCCATCGAATAGATTTTGTGCATTGATCGCCTCTTCGTTTCTTTGCGATTTTTGATCTGTTTAAAATCTCGGACGCAATTCAGCCAAGCTGCCGAATTGCTGTACTGAATGCAGCCAGTTGTACGATGAGGTTCTAGATTTAAAATGGGTATAATTAGCTACGTCACGTCATGCGCTGCTTTGTATGAGATTATCTGTTATTAGCGTGTTTGTTCAAGATGTTTTTATCCCTTGTGCTTGCCAAGTTTGAATCATACCTCGACTAATCAGTTATACCTGGCTTGATTGCTATTTCACGTTTACCTATGCACATAAACATCCGTGTTTGCATTTATGCATAGCTGCATGAATATTTGTATTTATTGGCTTTATCATTATCATTTGAACCTAAACAGCTCACAACATGTGCAGAGATTTTTGTCTTAACATAACAGACTGACAAATACCGATGGCTAACTTTGTATATTTTTTTCTAGGAAAAGGGTTGAAAAGTCGCTATTCAGGATGTTTTAGTTGAGCTACTAGCACGATATAATGTCTTCATCCGCCTGGCTTTATTCGAAGTCACCTGTGTCTTAGCCCCTGCCAGAAAGTCACTAGCTAAATTTCACGCTACTTGTATTGTAACTGTTTCGTACCTGAGCAGATACGCCGTTGGGACAGTGGTAAAGAAGTTGGCTTTGAAATCCGGTGATGTCAGATTCGAAGCCGTTAAAGGATCAGTCGTTGTCTTATCCGCTAATCCCCTTTGACAAAAAATAAAACCCACGTTAGTTCCCTGCAACTAGTCGAGAAACAGGTACTTAGCTAGTCACTGACTTGCGAATAACAAGGATAGCATGGCATTCTGATGTGTTCATAGCAGAATGTAAGAGGTGTAAGATCATGCCGTTTGATGCGAACGTGCCTCATAAGTTCGTCCTGACCCACTTCCACTTGATAACTGGTCATGCAATTTGATAATCAGTACAAGATGTAACCAGAATTTCGTTCGTCTATATTTCACGTATGCACTGCTTACGGGTCAGGGTGATACGACACTAGTTCACCCCACATCATTAAACTTTTAATAAATTATCATAATTTTGAGACGAACGTCGATCCATCTTTCGGTGGCATAATAAATGCTCACAGGGCGATCATTGTACATAATGCGGAGTGATTCGAAAATGATCAAGCGTTGTCTGAAACGCCAGGTAATTAATTAAGTGTCACTGTGCTGAGGATATATATGCTGGAGGCGATGAAACGCCGCTGAATGCTTGCTGTCCACTACAGTTATAAATGATTCTAATCTAAATCTGGTTATGCTCTTACATTCAAGTTTGGTCATGAATGCTGGATGCTAGCAGTGACATATCCATCTAGGGTATAAGAGACAAAAAATGAATTTTTTCTCAGGATTGTTGGCTTGGCGATTTCCGGAAGGGTTTTAAACACGGCAGTCTCTGGCGATGTTCTAAAGATACTTGATACCACTAGTTGATTCATAAGTAAGACAGTTTTTGGTGGTTGATCAAGGCTTCGGCTGATGTTATCAGCCCTTCTCATCTGCAAGCAATCAGTATATTCCACAGAGGTACGATAGCATGAGATAGTCAGGATGTATTTACAACTGACTTCTTCTCCTTGCCTGGATATTACGCAAGTTACGCCGATAAGGAGAGATATAAATTCCTTCATCTCTGTTCTTGACGTTGGGTCTTGTCTGGATTAAGTCAGCAGTCTCTTACACCACTCCTTCCGCACATCGAGACGGTTTGAAGATGTTTTCAGGGTCCTTTTCCGGAAGGGTTTTCGTCGATTCACAAGACTGACTGTTAGCAAAATCGCACGCCGGAGGACGAAATATTACTGAGCATTAGACAACTTGAATTTGTTGGGGTTTATTGACAATCAATTTCTGAAGATATGAATAGAATCAGGTTTACTGCATTTCGTTGACTTGCTGTTTCCGCCCATTTGCTTCCTGTAAGAAAAACGGTGGAGTGGACACTGGAAAATGCAATCATCTGACCCCTCATCGGTTAAATGCTTTTCCCCAGTCCTCTAGTAGCAAAAAGGTGGTGATCCAACAATAAGTTATCTCAAAGGTTATTTGTATTAACAAAAACATTTACCTTATGTCGGAATTCAAACTTCACATCATTCGTTTTAATACTGTATTGCTTACATGGTTATAATTAAACGAAAGTATAGTAGGTTTATAAGTAATTCAATGGAAAATCCAGTGGTTTGTCGAAAGCATCAGAAAATTAAAATGTTCAGATAATCCTATTTTACTTCTGAAACTGACCAATATCAGCAATGAGTAGTTCGTGATCACAAAATTTCTGTAGCGTTTGCTGCCTAGTTTTCAGGATATATTTATTCTCGGAAAAGTTGCCTTTAAAATCAATATTTACTGTTCCACAACAGTTATATGGTCAAGTGATGGGCTGCTACGATTTTCATATATATATTCGATTGAAAACGACATAAAGCTATTGTTATGCGGGTCAGCGATCACATTTGGTCTTAAACTGCTTTTTTAGGACAAGCAGCCGACAAAGCGGTACCAACGACGAGAGTTCCACCGAAACTTCAGTTCGCGAACCGTTAAGGTATTTCGGGCAAAAAACAGTAGCTGATCGGTCGGCAAACAGTCCTCGAACGCTACCGGGACGAGGAGGCGGCGGCAAGATGTCATTAATGGAAATGAGGTCGCGCTCACTGTTGCAGAACAAAGACGATAACGGTCAGCCGCTGAATTATGCGTCTGGAGTCAACTCCGTTTACATACCGGAACCGGATTATGATAGCGAAGAAACGAACTCCACCGGTAAAGAGACCAAGGAAAGCGAGAACAGCATCTCTCCTGGAGGCGAACCCAATCGGTATGTGTCTTCATAATGTGGATTGTTGTAATAGGCA